CCATCTTATTAAGTATATTAATTGTAGCGTAAACAGTTGGAGTGATCAATATCTTCAATCAGAAATTGATGTCATTAGTCAGTTAGCACTTTTCTGGATGACTGTGTTGTTTTGTGCTATATGGAGGCTTGAGGGTCACAGAACTTGGACCCATCACAGGCAATGAGGAGTGGGACTGGCAAGACACGCTTGCACTGAGAATAGTTTTCCCACAATAACAGCATGGGATTTCAGTGCCACTGTTGCTTTCACATTTTAAATATGCATCTTCTGAGACACTCAATTATTAATCTATCTGTGATCATTGTCCCATATTCCCCTTCTGATGCCCCCCCCCCCCCCCCCCCCCCCCCGCAACACAGATCAATAAACACAAATAGCCAACTGGACACTCACCATCAAATTCACACTGGTATCTCCAAAATGGACACTGCAGTCTCCAAGTGGACACTGCACTGCTTTCTCCAAATGGACACTGCCCTGCTGTCTCTAAATGGACACTGCTATCTCTAAATGGACCTTACACTCTAACTGGATATGACAACAGTTACAGATGCCCCGGGGCTAAACTCCCTCTTGACTTTGACTTTCCTGTGGGGAATCCTGGGATGCAGAAACAAGTAGGACTAACAAAAGGAGGGTCAATAATGATCTCTGCTGATGTGAAGTGGATTGAGGACTACAATCAATACATGCTGTGGAGACTGCAAGAGTTACATCAATTCCATGTCTGACAATCTCCACATACAATGTGTGCAGCACTCTAGACTGCCATTTTCTGAATCCACCACGCTGGTCACAGTAGAAAAGCATTCCAAATGGAATCAGCAGCTCATAGTGTCACGCCATGCACTCAACTCAGAAGCTGGGCAAAAAAAACTATCCTTTCAGTCTACAAGAGCAAAAATGCACCGGCTACCGTTTGGCAGAAGCAAAAAAAAAATTTGCTACAGCTCAAAACAGTGACTGTGCCTAGCGTCCATTTTTGACCAGAAGTAGTAAGGGTTTAATAACGGTCACCCCAGTGGTGCCTTCGTGCTGGGGAAGGGGTCAGGGGCGTAACGCCCATCAGCAAGGTGTCACCCCTGTACGACATGACTGCCTTCATTAATGATTGTACAACCCACAACCATGCAGTTCTTTGGCACGAAGGAGACACCTTAAAATTGGGTTTCTTGCTTTTTACTATCATGTGCTGAGATTTTCAGACCTCAAAATTAGTGGATTGAAAACGGTCACATTTCCCTGTATTAGTTGGCTTATACATTCATTTATGACAACACCACCTCCAGGAATGAACTAATCCTGAAAATGAATTCAATGTATGATGTATATGAAGCTTGATGAGGATGCATGGGGGAAAAAAACTGTCGCAGGTACTGAGGCTTCCGTGTGTACGGGCTCCAGTGACTGTTGTGGTGCTTATTGACAACATCATTGGTCAAAATGGTTAAATGTGTCTGTGGTGTTTTTTCATTCTCCCTCATTGGGTTTCAAAGACATTGCTCACTTAATTTATTTTGTGATAATAGTTTGACTGCAATCATTCCTAATTCCATCACCTTCAAATCAATCCTAATTCACACACAAGCACTCGCATATCATATGTAAGTTATGGCACAGCTGTGTAGCTCAATGAAACATTATGAGCTGTACAATAAATATTCAGCAGCTAAATATTAAATGATTTGCAGTATGGTGGCTGTTTTAAATGGTAACTTTCTGGAATGTGTTTGGGTCAGCTTGAGCTCCCCTCATTGAAGGAAGTGGATAAAATAAGTTACTCACAACCAGGTCAAGAGAAGGGCTGTTTTTGGTTGGCAGATGGTGATCCACCTGCCCACATGTCCTGGTGACTCCCTTCTGGTCAGCCAGCCTTCACTTTTACTGAAGACACTTTTTCTGGGAGAGTGAGCGGTTTTCAGGTCAACCCTGACATGATCGCCTGACAAATATGAACTCTGATATGATCATAGAACAAATGTAACCTCTCACACATTCATGGGACAGATTTCACCTCTGACATTATCATGGAACAAATGCCCAACTCTCAGATAGGCAATGGACAAATGTCAAAACTGACATGATAATGGAACAAATGTCAGCTCTTAAACATGAAATGGACAAATGCCAACTCTGACATGATCATGGCGAAAATGTCAACTCTGACATGACTGATAATGGGACAAGTGTTCAAACTCAGCTCTCCTCATGAGATGCATGCATGTTTTTACCAAAATCAAAATGACTAAATTTGATTGTCCAATCTGGCAGAAATTGTAAATTATCAGAAACATGGTAAATCTGAAACAATGTAACGGAAATGTGTGTTATATTTCAGCAATATGAAAATCTACTGAACACAAAATCAAAACGCCTCTGCCAGGAAGACATATCAATCACCAAGTCCAGCACAGAATGTTAGCAAATGACAAATCTAGTGTCATTTTAACAATTCTACATGCAACAAAATACACAAGATCAAATAAACCTGTGTGATGTTATTGATTATTTTAATGGCGATAAAGTTGTCTAAATTCACAAAACTTAAAGAATCTTAGATTTTCTAAAACCTGTTTTGAAAAAAAAAAAAAAAGTGACAAAGCAAATCCATGAACAAACAGTCATTATGAGATGAAACGTGAGTTAGAGAAACCAAACTTTACTCAAGTGGAATGAAATATGAGTTAGAGAAAGCCAATATGTATTAAAATGGACTGCTTAGTGTTAAAATTCTGGCCAGAGCAACAGTGAAATATTGAATCGGCTGTACAGAAGTAATGTTGGTGGCATCTGTCATAACTCAGAATGACAGCTGTTACCTGAAATGATTAAATTTTCATAATGGTTGCGTAAAACCAACCAACCAAGTAAAAGTAAATACTCTATACATTAATTATGCAGTTATAAATAACTGAAGAGATGTATTACCAGATTTATAACCAAAATAATATTATATAAGAGAGAAGACCAAATTGTCATAACAGCTGTCTGAAACAGGATGTAGGTAAATTGAAAATCTGTCTTCTAAAATTATACTGTGTTGGTTTTAAAAATGTTTAGGGAGAAAAACACTAGGAACTACAGGAGTTTTTTTTATACTGCTTATACAGTTCCCAAGATGCAAACTAGCATTATGATAACTAAACCATCTTTACTAGCAAGTAAATGTTGTAGTTACCATTTAGCAAACGTTTTTGTTTTATTTTGTTTAATCTAGAGATTCAGCAGCCCAAGCAACAACATCAATGATAAAAATAGCAACAAACAAAAGAAAAACCAAAAACAGATTACTGGATTCAAAATGGTTGCACAAATAAAATATCTGACAGACATTTATCTATAAGAATAAAATTGCAGACAAATGATTCTGGTGGGTAGATAAGAGTAATAGTTTGAGAAACACTGCTCTGGCAACATGCACCTACCTGACGTTTTACCTCTTTGCCAATCTCTGCAGTAAAGATAAAAATCATGGATGACAACACAAAATAACGTCACGCTTCGTAAGCAAAACACTTCCCATCCAATCTCCTTGTCCAGCTTTCACAATGGAAGTTTCATGATTATTCCAGAATCCTTTGTTTCTTAATAATTCAAACAGCAGTTGTAAATAATAGCAGGAAATTTTCAAAAGTCAGTCCACTTTTGCAGAAGCAATCTTCCAATTTCTGCATATGTAAGTATGTAATGCATGCAATAAATATTGTCATACCTAGAAGTTTGATTTGCCCTTTAATCCTTGTGCCATTTTGAAAATGATATATGATAAAACCTATTTCTCCAACATCGTTGTATTCAACAACATAATAAATGAGAGAGTTACAAGCGGCAGAATGTAATCCATTAACCACAGAACTGAATAAGTCCACTCCGCATTTGACTGTAATGTGCACAATGTTTTCAATGGCCAAGATTAATTGGAAGTAGCAAATATAAATCCACTGAACAAAATGTTGACTGGGACTGGTGTAGGAAATATGAAACGCAATACTCCTATATACATTTTGACACAACAACTGAACGTGATGACCTCTGAATGTAGCTGTGTGACTGGACAACTGCAGATCATATTTCAAGTTTGACCTTCAACCTTTGTATCAGGTTAGAAAACCACAACAATTGTGTTTGTGAACATTGCAACTGGATCACAGAAAGCAGCAACTGCTGCATTGAAATGCCTGGAACAGTTCACCATCAGGAATCTACTAATCTTGTATTTCAGTATTGTAAGCCACAGTATTGTGAAGATTCTGCAGTGTTGTAAGCCAGTGTTGTGAAGATTCTGCAGTGTTGTAAGTCAGTGTTGTGAAGATTCTGCAGTGTTGTAAGTCAGTGTTGTGAAGATTCTGCAGTGTTGTTAAGTCAGTGTTGTGAAGATTCTGCAGTGTTGTGAAGATTCTGCAGTGTTGTGAAGATTCTGCAGTGTTGTGAAGATTCTGCAGTGTTGTGAAGATTCTGCAGTGTTGATAGCCAGCGATAAAGTCCTGGATGTTTTTAATCAGTGATGAAAGTTCTGTAGTGTTGTAAATCAGCAATCCAGGTTCTATGTCATAAATCAGCAAAGCAGGTCCTATATGTTGTAAATCAGCAATCAGAGTCCTGTATTCTGTAACTCAGCAATGGTTCTATATTTTGAAAATCAGTGATGAAGGTTCCGTAGCACTGTAAGCCATAGTGGTATGAAGGTTGTGTAGCACTGTAAGCCATAGTGGTATGAAGGTTCTGTAGTTTTGTAAGCCGGCAATAAAAGTCTTGTGAGCTGCAAGCCAGGCAATAACAAATTATGTAGTTACAAGCCAGCAATCAGTTGTGTGGTACTGTAAGCCAGTTATAACGGTTCCGTAGTGTTGCAAGCCAGGAACAAGTCTCTGTAGATACCTCTTGAGGCTTTAATGAGATACTCATTTTATGGTAAGATCTCACAGATAGGTAACTCAAGGGATTCCAAGTCATTGGTTTCAGCTGAGAAAAACACAATGCAGTGCCGCAAGCAATGATTACAAATAAACTTTATTAGACTTTGTCACTGGTTTTGTCTCCACACCTGTGTTGGTTTTCCCTGGCTTTAGGTTGACCACGTAGTTCATCTGTTTCGGTGCCAGACTTAAGTGGTCCGTATGAAAATAAGGGTTGTCCCCTGAGGACAGCCTGTTACGACCCCGCTGAAGGGAGGAGCAGTTTCGATCATAGAATGTACTGTCTCTGTCACGACGATAGCGACAGGACTGGATTTTATAGCCCATGATGAAGCCAACAACCAGTGATATGATGACGGAGAGAATCACTGCGATGATCAGATACTCTTCTTCAATCCCTCTGTACAGCACAGCTTTGGCTGCAGCTACCCGACCTTCTGTAGATTAAACAACAAAAATGTATTGATGTGATTTCATTGCAAGGCAGCTACACTCTATCTTATTTAAGGATTGCTACACTATGCGTGGAAGCCATTGTTGCAAAATGTTCAACTGTCAAAAAGAAAGTCTTGGGTTTAAATCAAGGTGATTTTTTTTTTTCAAACTGGCAATAGCTTCTACGTCAACTTGACCTAAAATGGTCACCACGTAATGTCCCAGGAAGTAAAAGACTATATCACTCAGTGACTGCTGATTGGTCTATCAAAATATGTTTTTAGCATCATATGCCAGAGGCGCCACAGGGGCACGTATCTGGTTCATTTTTATGAGGTCACATCAACACACATGTGGGTGACGTGCGGATGCACTGGCAAATTTACAGAAGTCAAACAAGAAATTAGACACAGTATAAAAATGTAATGGGTATCTGGCAGGAACTAGATGGCTCCCAATGCTCCAAGAGAAGCAGCATCAGTAGTTATCTATGAAAGCAATTAATGCCAGTGTTTCCTCTCGATCTGCCTTTAAATCCGCAATCAGGCATATAGCTCCTTACCTGTAGTCTCCACACTGAGATATATTTAATTCCCTTGTCAGTGTATTATGGGCAGGTAGAGAAATGCAGAAGCTAACAAACTCATATGATGGCTTTGTGTGCATTTGTTGAGCATCTATACTTTAATGGGAGATGTAGCCAGCAAAAGAAATGAGACCAGACACCCAAAAGGCTTTATGATGCGAAAAAGGGGCCTGATGGCATAGACAATCACACTGGTCTCACACCACCTCTCCCCCACCCCCACCCCCCACAACACTCATCTACCCTATTTAAGATAATTATCTGTGTGCCCAGGTGCATGCACACACACACAGATATATATCTAAATTACCCTTCACAATCATACTCATACATGTCCAACAAGCTGAAATAAGAGAATTCAACAGTTACGTGCAAAATATTATTGAGGGTGATTTCTATATAATGACTAGAGAAGCACTACATGTACAAGAACAATAACACAACATCAAATAATAAGAGGGAAATATAAAACAGCATGTTATAATACAAAAAGAAAGCAATGTTTAAATTGTGTCATAAAAATAAACTTAAAGAAGTCACCTCTAGACAGAGGTCTAGTGAGTTCTAAAGTAAAAAATATGGATGGCTGACTCAAATCTGGTATTGCTTTTCAGGGGCCGACCAACACGAAGATGGGCACATGATATAGGCAACTCCTTGCATATGAAAGTAACTGAGGCAGAAGAGCGCGTGAGACTGAGTTTCTTTCAGGCAGACCCTGATGAGACAGTTTCTTTCAGGCAGACCCTGATGAGACAGTTTCTTTCAGGCAGACCCTGATGAGACAGTTTCTTTCAGACAGACCCTGATGAGACCCAGCTTCTTTCAGGCAAACCACGATGAGACAGTTTCTTTCAGGCAGACCCTGATGAGACAGTTTCTTTCAGGCAGACCCTGATGAGACAGTTTCTTTCAGACAGACCCTGATGAGACAGTTTCTTTCCAGCAGACCCTGATGAGACAGTTTCTTTCAGGCAGACCGTGATGAGACAGTTTCTTTCAGGCAGATCCTGATGAGACAGTTTCTTTCAGACAGACCCTTATGAGACCAAGTTTCCTTCAGGCAGACCGTGATGAGACAGTTTCTTTCAGACAGACCCTGATGAGACCCAGTTTCTTTCAGGCAGACCCTGATGAGACCCAGCTTCTTTCAGGCAGACCGTGATGAGACAGTTTCTTTCAGACAGACCCTGATGAGACCCAGTTTCTTTCAGGCAGACCCTGATGTCCAACTCTGTGCTACCAGTGCCAGACATGGTCACTCACAACAAACCATAAAAGAAAATTAGTAACCACGGAAATGAGATGTCTGAGAAGGGCTGTAGGAGTGACCATAAGAGATAAGATCAGGAATGAGATCATAAGAGAACAAGTCGGCACAGAACCAATTCTGGATTACATACAAGGACAGCAAGTGAAATGGTTTGCCCACTTATAGAGAACGCCTTGTGACACCATACCATACAAAGCATACATGGAAAGAGAAGAAGGACGTAGAGCACGGGGTAGACTTGCCACTGTAAAATAGATATTTAATTATAAGAATAACATGAAACTTTTTGGCAATGAAGAAACAATCAGGAAATTGAGCTGAGGTTCTAGAGATGAGTTAATACAGATGAAGTCATATTTCATGGAAATAAACATGAATAAACACAGAACATCTACAGAGACTAGCAATAAAGACTTATAAAACGAAATTTTAAAAAAAAGAGAGAAATAAACTGCTATGGAAATATTACGACATATGCTTCTACTATTGAGAGTTAGAAAAAGAATTCTTGCTTGCTACATACATCCAGTTTTAACACATGGATGTGAATCCTGGACAATCGGTAGGCAGGCCAAACAATTTTTGGAGGCCTCAGAGATGTGGTTTTACAGAAGAATGCTTAGAATACCTTGGACAGCCAAAAAGAGCAACCAAGAGGTTTTAAAAGAGGCGGGAGCCCGAAGACAACTTATCACTGACATCAGAAGGAGACAGTCATCATTTTTCGGCCATGTTATGAGAAGAGGGAAAATAGAACATGTTGTGACCACTGAAATGATCTGTGGAAGGAGGGATAGAGGAAGACAACGAGAGAAGATGCTTGAGGGTCTTGTTGCATGGCATGGAGGTGTGTCGGCACACGAACTGATACATGCTGCAGGAGATCGCGGATTATGGAGAGGCCCACGCCAGTCGGCAAGGCACCTGATGATGATGATGATGATGATGATGCTGTAGGGTACAACCTCTCATTTCTAAATATGATTTTTCACTCACTCATTTACTCACTCAGGTACACACTCTTTTTTTCTCTCATGCAGTCATCAATCTTTCATTATTTTTATCTTTTTCTCACTTTTTTTCTTTCTTATCCACATTCTTTCTTTCACTCATTCCTTTCTCTATTTCTCACTGACTATTTCCATGTCTCATTCACAATTTTATATTTCACTCACTGACTTTATTCTTTTTGTCAATTAACTTGCAGTTTCTTATATGACTATCACTATTATTTTTCTCTCTCATACACACACACACACACATGTGCACCTGCACACACACACACACACACACACACACACACACACACAAATAAAAATTATGGTTAATTACCTACACAGATTGAAAAAAGTACCTTATAAATTTTCATTTTGCTTTGATATTTTGAAAAATTATAAATTTAGCTCAATTAAACCATTCTAAATAATCGCCTCATGTTGATTTACATCAGGTTTTAAAGAGAAAACAAAATAAAACCTTGACATTCCTCCTGTAAACTTACCACCATCTTCTTCCTCTGCCACTTCCTTGGTGGCATCCAAGTTTGGCAGCTTTGTGGATTTTTCTTTCTCATTATCTGTTTGTTGAAAACATGGACGCAAAATGAGAACAAAGGGGAACAACACAATCTCACAATAAATAGCATGCAGTTATAACATCTAGACTTGACAATACCCAGTGTCTAATTTCTAATATAGAGTATAAAAACACAAGGCTACAGACAGTGAGCAGGCTACATAGTTTAAATTTTTGTGAGCTTTTAGTTTGCTTTTAGTTTTTCTCTTATTTTCAAGGCTTCTCAAACTTCATTTAAAAACAACTAAATCTGATGAGACTAAATACGTTGCAGACCGCTTAAAGTGATCTCAAATGCGGTGAATTTCTGTTGTGAAAAATTATTTGTTTACCCAGTCAATTCTTCTTGTTTGAACTCATATCTGAACTACAAGGATTTCAGATAAGAAGAACCATTTCTTGGGTCCTCGGTGAGTTCTTCTTATCAGGTCTGCACTGTATTAGTGAAAAGGTTTAAAGTTAACATAGTGGTTGTGACTGATGTACCATAACAGATAGAACTGAACAGATTCTTCCTCTTCATTGTCTGCTTTCACTGACTGTGAAATCCTGCTGCGACAGTCTTGAGTTCATCCATGTCTTAACCCCCACATCTTGTTCCAGGACTTGAGTTCTGCATGAACATCCATTTGACAGATCAAGCTTTTTTGCGTGCAGACTGTTGGTTCCTTTCCTCACAGACAGAGGCACTCCAAATGTCACGGAAATCAGAGCAGTGTTTTTCAACCTTTTTTACACTTGGGTCCACAAAAACAGGGGAAATTGTTTCGTAACCCCCCAAAGCAGGGAAAATTGTTTAGCGGCCCATCAGAACAAAGGAAATTGTCTCACAGCACACCAAATCAGGGAGCATGGTTTTGTGGCCTATCAAAACAGGAGAAATTGTTTCGTAGCACACACACGAAAACAGGGAAAATAGTTTTGCGGCCCACCAAAACAGGGGAAATTGTTTCCTCGCCCTACAAAACGGGGGAATTCAATTTGCAGCCCACCGAACAGAAACACAGAATTTAAAAAAAAAGAAATGTAGATTGCAGTTTATTGGTTAAATCCGATGTCACACAATTACAAGTTTCAGTTAATGCAACATCTTCTAATGTTCATGGATCTAGAGTGGGCTAAAGACGTCACAGCCGGACAGAGGAAAACATGCAAACCACTGTGACAGCTGTCAACACTGCATGACTGGGGTGAGGGGGGGAAGAAGTTAAAGGTCAAATGTCATCACAGATTATCACTTGCAGTGTCAGAGGTGACAATAACAGATTGTTGAAAATGCCAGACATAACAAATGTCATCGGGTGACACCGGGCTCACATTGGTCACAACCCCGAGCTGGTGGTAGGATAAACATTACTTTCCCACATGGTTGCATGTGAAATTAACTCCCGACATTATCGTATCTAGAAGATATGCAGTAGTCCACAGGCTAGTTTCTAGCTGTTGCTGTTGTCCTTGTTCTTTCCGCGCTGTCAGTTCTGATTGTGATTACAACTTTGAAGGGCGCGATCTCCGTGTGGGTTCTGGGGCCTAACTGTGGGGAAAACAAGAACAGATCAACTGCCTCCCCAACAAACATGTCGTAAGAGTCAACTAACTGGGGTCATCCTTCATGATCAGAGTACATATGCCTGAGAGGCAAGGAATCGCAAGTCTGCATACAAAGAAGTCAGATCCGTGAAACGGATGTGCACGCAACGTCAAGCTCTGGAACGTGAATACAGACTGGAGGTGGACGAACAACCAGAATATTCCGCCGGAGTTTACAGCCGGTGACGAAGGTGATGAAGGGTGGGTGTGAGGGGAAGGTGTCCAGTGCAGTCACACCGACTGTGCAGGAGACTGTATTTTTGCCGCCGACTCGGGAATTGGGTTGGGGGGGGGGGGGGGGGGGAACAACCATACGGCGAATGCTGTTTTTTTTTTCAAGAAGATAGTGTTATAATGTAAAACGGAGAGATAGTTTTATAATGAGATACAGGGAGAGTTTTATAATGTGATACAGAGAGGTAGTTTTATCATGTGATACAGAGAGACAGTTTTATAATGTGAGGGAGAGTTTTATAATGTGATACAGAGTATAGTTTTTAATGTAATGTGATACAGAGAGATAGATATAGTTTTATAATGTGATACAGAGAGAGATACAGAGAGATAGTTTTTTTGTATAGAGAGTAGTTTTTTATAATGTGATACAGAGAGGTAGTTTTATAATGTGATACAGAGAGATAGTTTTATAATGTGATACAGAGAGATAGTTTTATAATGTGATACAGAGAGGTAGTTTTATAATGTGATACAGAGAGATAGTTTTATAATGTGATACAGAGAGAGAGGTTTTATAATGTGATATAGAGAGATAATTTTATAATGTGATACAGAGAGATAGTTTTATAATGTGATACAGAGAGATAATTTTATAATGTGATACAGAAAGATAGTTTTATAATGTGATACAGAGAGATAATTTTATAATGCGATACAGAGAGATATTTTTATAATGCGATACAGAGAGAGAGAGTTTTATAATGCGATACAGAGAGAGAGTTTTATAATGTAACACAGAGAGGTATAGAAAGCACAGCCCATGACGATGGCGAATGTGGGTAGCAAGACAGGCTCGCAAACTTCTTGGACCTCTGTTAGTTTACCTTTCCCAGCCTTTAGGCGTGTTGCAAATACAGGGCTAGATCTATATTTATATAGACCAATCGGCACTTGGTGGGTTATGTGGTCAGTATAACGCCGGCCGCCTTTACTTCACAGGACTGCATCTGGTTCCTACTCAAGACTTGGTTGGCCTGGGAGTCAATGCCATGTCTAAAAAATAGTCAGGCTCCGCCAGGACGCGAATCCATGACCTTCCGATCCGCAGGCGGGCGTTTGGCCGCTAAGGCGTTGGCGACTCCCTATTTCACTTGTAATATGCGTACAAATTTGTTGGAGAGACCCCGTCTGCTATTTAATAGCTCGTCGGACGTGGGGAGACACAATAGTGTTGAGAAAATAGCTTCCACATTCATCCATTCGTATTTTTTTAAACAACTCCACCCCCCCCCCCGCCCCCCGTTTCGATATTCAGATCCTATCAGACTATCGTGTCCCCCTCTCCCCCATTCCTTCTTCCGCCAGTATGTTTCCGTATCATCATCATTATGTGCCCTTACAGCTGGAGTAGGCGCTCATGCATCTCCACAGATCACGATCCCTGTTTCCGTAATCAAAACTATAATCCAGTATCACGACATGTGACAGACAGATCACCATAACTTGCAAGTCAAATCCCATGGGGACCTGAGCTGGCAGACGATCAAACACACAAGACGGCAGACAAGCAAAGAGAACGCCAACGTCTCAATGCCGCTCGTTAACAAGTACCCAAACATCACGAATACCTTTGTTGCCAATAAAGCCTTTATTTACCACAGTTGTCGACTGGCCGTGTAGGCAGACCTGAGGTTTTAGCTCCGCCTGACTAGTGCTGTCGCCAGACCATGCTGGTTAATATGTTATTTCTGCCTCCGGCAGTAAATAAAAATTCGGGAGATGTGAACCAGCGTCATTGCACACGGTTATAAACCATACGTGCTCTGCCACCAGTACGGACAGCTGATAAACTTCGCCTGTGTCGCCGTCCGCACGCAACTCAGTAGCTACAGACCTCGGGAACCGCCTGCTTTCGAACACCAGTGTGGGCTTCAGCTAATCGCAGCTGGATTTGAAAGCGAGCTCCCTACTGACTGCGCTAAAGCGGCCCCCTTGAACCCACAACCTCACATAAGATTCGAACCTAGGCCTGCTGCATGAGAGCCCCGCGTTCTTAACCGCCCAATCAGCCGCTCCTCATTACAAATTCCACCATCCTACAATAACGAGTCTCTCACATCAGAATCTAAAATTACATTATACAAACACATTTCTTGACCAATGTCTAGCCCTATTTGATGAACTACTGCTGTCTGAGATCTCCACTGATATGCGCAGAACAAATAACTTTAACAGAAAACAGGACCAGACGTCTCTGTTAAAACACTGGACCCACAACCAACATTCTGGAAATCACATATAAATAGAAATGAGAAATATTTCACCAGCTTCAATTGCTCTTTCTTCTACAGCGAAATACACATTTTTTATGACAAGCTGCATTTATTAGCGACAGAATCCCCACCTAAATGAGATAGTTTATGCATTCAAAGTTGGCACGCGGTGGATCCATTGTCCACTGGCCGTTTATGGAAATGAGAAGACTGGTGACTTGCCCAAAGGGAAGGAGGATGACTTTAACTGAAGACAGAGCAATACGTTAGGAATAACATCGGTAATGAATCGCGTTATCAGACTACCAATCACGGTTCCAACTTCATGCCAACTGTCAGTTCAAGCGGGCAAAGACTTTACATGTCTTTTTTCCAGAAAAAAAAAGAGAAGTCACTAAAGAAATAAAGCAAACATGCAATTAGACCAACTCAATTATAGGACAAATGTCATCAATACTGAAATGCAAGCAAATTGAACACTCAAAGAGCAGGGGAAATTACTAGAAGTCCCTAAACCCTGGACCTCCAGCACTCGAGGCTGACGCCGTGCCTCGAGACCACTCAGTCCTCCTTCTATGACATTACACTGCTTTTAACCAAACTCTGAAAGCCATTTACAAACAGTTTCAGTGCTCTCATATGTTACTGAAACACGCTGGCAATGAAGAGTATTTGAGGAATTCTGCTAAATTTGCAAAATGCACACTGGTACAGTATTTTGCATGGTTATAAAAAACCAACAATAAGGGGCTTTACTTTGTGATCGTCCCTCGCATTTAACGTGCAACTAGCTCAGACAATAAGGCACACAAGTATCACTACCATACACACAAGTTTCATCACCGTATACTCAAGCTAACCCCCCCCCCCCCCCACCCCCCAGTGACAACCAGTTACAGCGGATATGAAGACGCGGAGGACGCCGAGAAATCATTATTATAATATCAAGTTAATAGATTAATGGGTTTCGAATGACAAGGGGAAGAATTGTACATTAAAAATGGGGTATAGTATTACAAGAAACGTCAAATCTTAATGCAATTTCAGCGATACCGTTAAAAATGTCTTCGATATTGTCCCGTTGCGTCTTGTGGTAACAGATTATTTAACTATTAAATCTGTCATTTAGCTTTTGTTAAAATCTATATCATTCCGACCGTATCGCAAGATTAAAACAAAATCCTCTTGTATTTGACTGTCAATGTAATCTTTTGTATTATAGCAGTCACATTTCAATAACTTCTTTGATAACCTTTCTGGTTTGGCGCTGTATTCACCGACTATTGTGTAGACTATGAGACTAGGTACGAGAAAATAATTTATATATAAACTAGCTGTACCCGGCCACGCGTTGCTGTGGCATAGTTTGGCTAAATGGAAATGAAAGAAAATAGAAATCTCACGTGTCTAATACAATCATTGTCTGCTCAGATAAGAAATAGTCTTTGATCTCCACCCCACCCCCTACCCCACAACTAAATCCACCTACTACCCTCTCCCTCATCAAAGGTTTTTGGAAAAGAAAGACAATGGAAATCGCACCTGTCTAATATAGTTAATGTCGCAATCATTCTCTGCACATTTATATAGAGATAGTCTGGTTTTCCAACTTTAGAACACGCACCATATAATTGTGTCTTTATATTAGTGGTCGTCTAAATGGTGCTATTAGCACGGTAACAAAAGTGGTTATTTGGTTATCTCATGCTAAAGCTGTTTGTATTTTTATAAGAGACGGAAGTAAAGCTACAACTGTACTTGTAAATAACAAAGTGAGTCGTAAAAAATAGAAAAGCGGAGGTAGCGTTAGTAAAATATAAACAAATTAGGTAATGAGAACTTGAAAATCACGTGTAAAGCTCTTTAAGTTCTCTTAAATTTAAGTCATTACCCCCCTCCCCTCCCCTCTTCCACCGACTACTGCTCTCTCCCTCTTCGAAATATTTGAAAATCATTACCTTGCGATATTTTGTTGTTGCTGTAAATGACATTGACATCCCTGTCCATCTGGACTAAAATGGGGAGCAGGAATTGTAATAGGTAGTGAATGGGGCTAGTGTAATATTTACCACATCATCCTTCAAGTACCAGTACAACTACTAAAATAATGTCACTGCTATCTGTGTTACCATCGGAGTAGACAGAGAGTCGTGAGCCAGAAGATTTGGTTCCGCATGGCTAGTGCTGTCGCCACAGACTGGTCAGGTTAGGATGTATAATTTCACTTGCCGACAGAAGAACGCCATAATTTTACCGGCGGTCTTCACATGAGAGCACTATGGTGTAACAGCCCAACCACAACTATTACTGCTGCTGCTACTTTAAGTGGGTAAAGCAGTTACTGTGACTTAAAGCTCTTTCAGTAAATAGTTTGCCCCCCCCCCCCCCCCCACCTCCCCCAAATTCACCGACAACTCTTTCTCTCATTGAAGTAGTTGGGAGGGGAAAAAAACCCACTTGAAAAGCAAATGAACACAGGAAAAAAACACCATAATTAGGAAATGAACGCCATGGTAAACAGCACAGCTTAAAATTCCAACGCAGATGAAATAACTAAATCTAAATGAAAATAAATGAAATTCTATAAAATTTCAGCATAACCATGCAATCGAAAAGTTTTAAAATGCAATCATAAGTATGCGAAATGGTCAAATTTAATTATCAAATGGTTTACCCATTTACTTGTCTTTTTTTTTTTTTTTTTTTAAATATTAAGGCAACATGGCTAGTGCTGTCACCACGGCAGAGCAGATGAGGATATTATTTTAGTCCGGGGTAAAAAAAAATATTAACTACTGCGGATTCGAACCCAGGTCTCCCGCACAGGAACCCAGTGTTCTAACCATTCGACCAAGCAGCCAATTAATCAGATAAACGAAAAGAGAACTTAACTATTAGAGATATGTGTCCCTACTACTGAGTCCTGATTAAAACACAATTCAAAACAGCAGGCAATTGTTTTCTCGTAAACAGATACTCCAGATATATTAATGAAACGGCACAACAATAGAAATCGCACGTGTCTAACATGGTTAATGAAGTTAATGTCGCAGTCAATGTGACGTCGAGATAGTCTTTGATTGCCCCCCCCCCCCCCCCTCCCCCCAATCATCAAAGGTTGGTTGGAAAAAAAAACAGAAAATAGAAATTGTGTTTAATATGGTTATTGTGGCAAATATAGAGATAGTCTTGTTTAATGTACCACGTCCTACTCTATGTATTAGAGAAGGCATTGGCTGCACGTAACTCGCCGGCAAATGGCGGAAGCCTTGCGTTCTGACTACGGCGGCGCATGCGCAATTACTAACGTGGCTATAATTAGAAACCACTACAGTTATAAATTATAGTTGCGAATATTATGGCATAAATTGTGGTCACCTATCTCTAACAGCGACAGGTTGAATTTCAAACCATGATGATTCAAAATCCGGTATCAAAACAAACTCCTGAAAATTTCAGCTAAATCGGTTCAGTAGTTTCCGAGTCTATAGGGAGCAAACAAACACACAAACATTGATTTATATATATATATATATAGATTACAATAATTTATATATAAACTACAACGCAGGGGACAAACAGTCTGTATTGATCACGACGGGAGATACACGGTACTGAAGTGGGATGCGCGCGCGCGTGTGTGTGGAGAGGGGGTTGGGGAGGGGTTGTGTTTATCAGTGACGCTATGCTTGAAGTACAGTAAATTAGTTGACTGGTACTTTTCAGGGAAATTGTCAAAAATGACAGTTCACAAGTCAACCCGGCTTCAAATGGTAACTAGGTAAAATAAATTAAATTCATTGAATATATTAAAATATAGATCTAGCCCTATATGCCCAAATCGCCTTACGGCGTGAAAAAGGGCCCTTTATTTTATGCTGAAGGACATTTCCATCGAGTACGAATACTCATGCATGCCATTGAGAATTAATGCTTATGAAAGATGAATGCATGGAGGGTCGAAATGTAAGAGAGGCCTGTGTGCCCAATTTGTAACCTTTTTGGAAATAAACTTTGTTCGTTCTCTCTGACAGACACACACACGGAATAATTATAAGCTTGCGCAAGTGGCATGATATATAAGCAAGGGGGGGGAACAAACGGATACAGAACATTAAACAACAAGAGAGCAAACTGATAACTGTAGACACACAGAACACTGACCCTGGCTGTCTCGGCTGTGGGGTCCCATCAGGTTTCTGGCGGGACACGAACATTTTTGCTGGGACTCAATAACAGAAGGCGTTGCCGTGGTTACCTCTCGTTCTGGATAAACGAACATTTCAAAGAGAAAAGAAAAGTCTAAAGCAAAAAGCGTCTCAATATAACAGCAATAGAAATAACACACATAAAGCAGAGCTGAATAAAACTGAGAAAAATAAGCATTTGTAATAACAGCAATATAAACACACACTTTGTGTGTGTGTGTGTGTGCACACACACACACACACACACACATTTATCTATATTTTAAATCACAAACACTTTCTGTTTTAGGGCCAGCAACTTATGCCACTGTGAAGTATTCCAGGATTAGAGAAACACACAGGTGTTAACATTTTATCTGACAATATGACAACAATTTTTAATTTAAGAGTCACAATGGTGGCCAGGTTATTATGCATTTCTTTATTAATAGTGGCAATCAGTAAAAGTAAACTTTTGCTGAAGTTATTTTCCTCTAAATATTTTTTCAGATTACTTTCCCCGAAAAGGTAATTTAAAACAAATATATTTTGCTGTTATCTTTCTCGAAACCACATAACAATAAGTGTCTCCCAAACTGTTGAATGTGGGTGTTAGTATTGCAAGGAATGCCTGAGGTGCACTTAGGGGCAACGACTAAAGATACGGCAGCGGTGGAGACAGAGAAGAAGCAGAATACGGGATATTAAATATAGGGTGTTAGTTAGACCCCTACTTCGGCTAGGCCTAAATATAGGGCAGCGGTGGAGACCAAGAGGTAGAGGACGGGAGAATAAGATTTTCTTCCATTATTCCAGGTGAAGCAGGCAATTAAAATTATGTAACATAAAAAACACATATAAAAATAAAAATAAACAAACAATCCTGAAAAGAAGACACTCAAATGAAAATATGTGAAGAATATCAGCTGCTAGCAATAAAAAATGATTTCATAAGAAGCAAAATGGCTGCCAGCCCAGCATTTCACATGCCGGCATACACGTTTTTATGTATACTGTTTCATTTCAAAATCGCTAAAGAAACAACAAAGCCTGTCTAGTTACAACAGCGAGGGTATATAGTAAAAAAAAAGTTGACTGACCTTTTGGTTGTTCTTTACAGCTGCTGTGTTTGCCATACGTGATGTTTTGTATCCTGTAGGGATAACAATATGATGCTAGTTAACAGTAAATATGATGATACTATCTCAGATGTCATTAAAAAATGTTGGCAATGATGATGTAATAGCTAGCAGGCATGCCTGTTTTATAAAAACTCAAAATTTCCTTTTCTTCTTCTTCTCTTTCTCTTGTTTTTTATTTTTTTAATTTTCAGAGCATTTTAACATTCAAAACAATGTTTTCCTGTTGTAGATTTAAATGATGTGGAAACAAACAATACACTGCACAATTTACTGCCTGATATATTTCACTGTTTTTCGTCAGGTGCGCTACTACACAATTGAATCAACATATAATGAAGCTCAGAGTGAACCCTTTTCTTGCCGAAATGCATAAACCCCACTGTCGAGAGGCTGTATGTCTATCCACCAGAAATTCAGAATCAGTCACATGATTACCATGGTAACTTGAAAGTGATCTTTCTGTTTACATAAAATAGGAGAGCAGAGTTTTACTTATACAGCCTCTATCACTTTTAGCAAACGTCTATTCAGTGTGTTGTAAATAATCCTGAAAAGCAGTCTTTATCAACTGCATGTCCAGAGACAAGCAAATGAAGTCCTACTGAAGAATTAGGTTCTCTCTTCATGGCTGATTTTGATACAGGATCTCCACTCAGTTGTGTGTGGAGCCATTCAGGGATGTGTTCTGCCACTTTGTTTTCAAACTGTCTCTCTGTTTGACTGATGTAAGTTAACTGAAACTGATAAATTTGCCCATTCGCTCAGAAAGACAGGAACAACTGTGTTTTTTGAACAATTACGATGTGCTAATAAACTATGTTAACAATGCAAAACTAGAAACAAGTACAGAGGATATACATACCCAGACTGAGCCCAGGAACACTTGAGATGTTCATCCCAGACACAATACGGATCTTGTAAGGCTATACAGTCTCTGTAAAATACAATATATGTTGGCATATAACACAAAGCAATATACTTTCTAAAACATACAATATATTCTGGTTATGTTTCTAAGAAAGCAAACACTGCTATACTTCACTATAACCCATTGCTATTCAAGGAGATGCATCTTTGAAAAACAGTAAAGGACCTTTGTTAGTTAGTTAGGTTATCATCATTGCACTCCGGACATGTCCATAGGTGCTCAGATCCTCCCCTCTGTATAAATCCCAACGTCTGATGGCTAATAGTACCAGTTCTATGTTGATTAACAAGTCTTCTGGCATGTCTGGTGTCTCGTTTTTTGCTATGCCAATCTTAATTCCCAAGTCTGCCATTCTGGCGAGTGATGTGGATTCACTGCCACCAAAGTAGTAAAGGACTTTTGTCAGGCTACTGGCAGATCTGGCATATGATTCTAGGCTGAGATTTTTATATAAACAATCAGAACTGGGTGGGTGATGTGGTCAACATCATGTTAGATGCCTTTGCTTCCCATATCATTTCCTGGTACCCATTTGAAGCTGGGCAAAACTGGAAAGTGAGTGAAGTGTAACCCCTCTAGGACCGAATACTGAGGGATTAATACCCAGTGACCCAAGAAGTCACTATCCAGATGAAGATCCCCCGAGAAATCCTTTTTTAAACCAGAAGGTTATACTGGGGCCCCTGACGGTTTAAGAAGTAACCTAAAGTCTGGACAGGGTAGGGAGGCGACATATCAAGTTCAGAAAGTTCATATGTACTGTGCTGAATTACAGCTTTACTTCATTGAAAATGGAATTCTACAGTTTGTTGTAGGTGTTGTTGATTTTTTTACTTAAAGCTTCAAATTATATATAATTTAACTATACTTCTTCCTTTTCTTCTTCACCGGCTGTAAACTTTTGCAGACATTTCTGGATGTTTGTCCACATCCAGTATCAAGTCTTGTTCCAAAACCTCAGAGTTGTGTGCATAACTCTTTTACTTTTCTGGTTAATCTGTATGCAGCTTCTCATTTTCTTGCCTCTCAGGCAGATGTACTTTGACTTCGAAGAATGCCCCCAGTTAGTTGCCTCCTAGGACATGCTTGTTGTAGAGGCAGTGGGTCTATACTTCTCCCCCCCCCCCCCCCCCCACAATGGAGCACCGGAACCCCCATGCAGAAATTAGGTATACAGAAAACAGCTGTGTGGAAATCTTACTTGCATGTGGTCACACGACTGCAGCGCTGTAAAGGAATGGAAACGACCTTCCGCTTGGACACCACAACCAAAGATTCTGAATTCTGGTCAGGGCGGCTTTTTAACACTTTTAAGTTGACCACGGCATCATCCACGTCTAGGACCTGAATGTCCTCTATTACCACAGACTCTACTTTCTGCGTTCCTTTGTTGATAGCTTTGATAACCCGTCCATCATCTGGTAAAATTAACAATACAACATCCAATCATCTGGTAAATATAAACAATAAAAACATCTATAATTTTGTAAACATAAACAATTAAAAAACGTCCATCATTTGGTAAACATTGCCAACAAAACATACACCATCAAAACATCCATCATCCAGTAAACATTACCATCAAAACATCCATCATCTGGTAAAAATTACATTATCATCAAAACATCCAAAATCTGGTAAACATTACCATCGAAAGTCCATCCCCTAGTAAACATTACCATCCAAAAATTCATCCCCTAGTAAACATTACCATCCAAAAATTCATCCCCTAGTAAACATTACCATCAAAACATCCCTCATCTGGTAATTACATAACCATCAAAACATCCACCATCTGGTAGACAGTAACAAAAAAACATCTACAGACATTAAAACATGTCTAACCAATTTCATTTCAAAAGTTGCTAGCCCTTTTTCAGAGTTCAGACGACCTAAACACTAACAGAGTTCAGACGACCTAAACACTAACAGAGTTCAGACGACCTAAACACTAACAGAGTTCAGACGACCTAAACACTAACAGAGTTCAGACGACCTAAACACTAACAGAGTTCAGACGACCTAAACACTAACAGAGTTCAGACGACCTAAACACTAACAGAGTTCAGACGACCTAAACACTAACAGAGTTCAGACGACCTAAACACTAGCAGAGTTCAGACGACCTAAACACTAACAGAGTTCAGACGACCTAAACACTAACAGAGTTCAGACGACCTAAACACTAACAGAGTTCAGACGACCTAAACACTAACACGACAACAAGTAGAAACTCAGTCCTACACAGGATTCGATTCACAATCGTGCATGGAGGGTGGACAGAGATAACGGAGAAAATGTCTGCAGACAGTATGATGTGGGCGTATGTGAAGAAACACATGAAATACATGTGATGGTTACAGTAGTCCTGAAATCCTATGCTCTACTTGTGTCAGACTTTTCTTAACGCGAAGGGGTCTTGCTTGATGATGACGTTCAATCCCACCAGGATATCACATCGAGCGATAAACATCCGGTGACACAAAATGTCACTAGGACATTGTCTCCTTTGTGTGCTAGCTGGTTGCTAGGGATTTGTTCATATCTATGACATAGATGACATTATGAATGCACACGGTAACAGGTAGACGAGATATCCGTTTATATTATTAATTCAACTTTCAAAGGCAATCTGGTCCAGTCCAGTCTACTACAAGCTAGTAGGTCCAACAAGACAGGTTTCAGAAACCTCGTTTAACCCACGGTTTGGGCTATATTAGGGCTCCCGACAACAGCAAGGATGGGACTTTAAAAATGATTTGAGTCCGACTTTGGGACGCAGATAAACTGTTTGGGCTCTTGCTGGACTAACTTGTTGCCTTCACAAGGACATCGCAATTAGCGATAAACACCCAGTGACACAAAGTGCCACCGTTCGGGTGAGGATCACCCGTGGAGAGGTTCCAGAAACCGCCTTCAACCATTAGGTTATATAATGGCCCCCGGCAACAACCAGGGTGGGGCGTCAAAATAGCGAAAAATTCATCTCCTATAGGAACGGAAATTATCGATAAGGGTACTTGCCATCGTCATTATTTGTGATTCAAATGCCATACGCCTTCCTGCAGTAAAATACATCTCTATGGTCTGGAAAGCAAGGTGCCAATCACACCAAACTTTGTATACAAATTATATATTCATTTGTTGAATGCAAACCCCGCCACGAAAGGAACCAAGAGACCCTTTATCTCCCCATCACAGACTGAACAGAAAGAACTAAGCAGAGACCGATAGAAATCTACAGGCACTCGTTCTCAGCTTTCAGGGGAAACAATCCGCAACCATCCAGCAGTGACGGCCAATATTTCTCACTTTACGAAGCTAGCAACATTAGCACAAGTAATCATATGGACGCCAGGGAACAATCTCTCACCCACATCTATACACACTGTGTGAGTGCGGGAGCGCGCATATTTCTGTGTACGAACGAACGCACGTGTCTTATGCCCCCCCCCCCTTTTCCCCGCCGCTTCTCTAGATCCTGCAGTAGAATTGACTTTAAAAAAAAAAATCTATGTGAAGAAAAGAACCAAAAAAAAGATGGTATATGAAAATCTTATCTCTGGTTTCACTCTATAAAAAGGTAATCTCTAAATGGGAAACATGATTCTGTCTGCCATATGAAATATCATCCATGTTTCTTGCACTCTAAAATATTCGAAATGATATTCGAGTAACGGATCATTTTGCTAATACTAATAAGAATACACACGTTTTTTCCTTAACTTCTACATCACAGAATTACAGAATGCGTCTTTAAAAACCAAATGCTAAAAGACAGAACTTAGTTCAAAGCAGAGCTTTCCAAACTTTTCATGTTAGACACTTTTCGGAAAGAAACATAATTTTACGAAACAATAGTCAGTCTACCAGCACGTGAGAGGGTAAATTAACCCTTTATAAGAGATATGGACATGTACATAAATCACATTCGCTCAACACATACACACACCCCCGTGTGGGTTCCAGGGCCCCATTGTGGGGAAAACAAGAATAGACCCACTGCCTCCCCAAAAGCATGTCGTAAGAGTCGACTAATTGGGGAGCTTCCTTTGAAGTCGAAGTGCATCTGCCGGAGAGGCAAGGAACCAACAGTCTGTATTCAAGATAATGAGATCTGTAAAACTGATGCACATGCAACACTCAGGTTCTGGAGCAGGACTGCAGTTCAGTAGTGGACGAGCAACCAGAACCTTCCGCCAGAGTTTACAGCTGGTGAACGCGAAGAAGAAGAAGAAGAAGAACATACACACACACATTATATACGCACACACAGATGCACGCATACACTCCCATTGGAGTCGACACACAAATATGTTGTGATATACAGTTTGGGTCACTCTGTTTAAAGAAGAGGAGGAAGAAAAAGATGACGAGGAGGAGGAAGATGAGATGTAGAACATGATAAATATTTTTTTTTAAACTATAAGAATAACACGGAAGAGAAAAGTTACTGATATTCTACAAGATGTGAACATCGAGGAAAACAGGCTTTAACAGCATCCTGTCTGGGAAATAGACATATTTTGACATTAAACGTTATATTGTCTTCTTCCTTCTTATTCTTATTCCTTTTCCTTCTGGTTGTTCGCCTACTTCTGGACTTTAGTCTTATTCCAGAACCCTGCGATTTTTGCCTGCACATGCATTCTACAGATCTGGCTTATGTGTATGCAGACTGTTGGTTCTTTTCCTCTCATCCACATGCGTTCTGACCTCGAATGAAAACCGTCTAATGAAGCCAGTATACTTGTTATCAGGCAGTGGGTCTATCCCCCTTCCCCTCCTCCAATCACAACAGGGACCCGAAACGCACATGGCGAGGCAGGGATCGACCAGCGGGAAGGTGGATGCAGGACATTGGAGACATCTTGGATGTGACAACACAGGAGGCAGGGTACCAAGAGGTATTATAGCGGGCTGAGGTGAAACCATGTTGTTCTACATTAAGACGGTGAACACACTAGCATATGAGCTATATCTGAGTGGAATAAACGAAGAAGTGGGTGGAGCGAGATTTACCTGTTCCTACAAACATGACGTCATAGTATTTCCCATCTGCTGCCAGAACCTGCCAGTCAATGGCAATCTGTGTAAACTTTGACCTGTAATGAAAAATAGAAGTGTCAACAAACTGTATTCTAAAGAAAAATATCACAGGCACGCGCGCATACATAAACACCACACACACATATATATATATACACATACACACCTAAATCATTTACTTCGTGTTCGTTGTATGTCCTATCTTAATTAATTATCAGATGACTTCTGAAGACTTGTTTTTGCCTTCGATGATAATACAATCAGACAATAATCTCTCTCGTGAGTTTTTTCACCACAAAACCCTCATACAGAATACTCCGTAGTGATTTCCGAAACGCCGATATGTTTGGGATTCAATTCCCAACCGCAAGTTAACTCTTGGATTAAACTTCGTAAACTTAATGGTATTTTTACAGGCTAGTGCAGACTTGCAACGTTTAAAGGCAAGCAGTCAGAAAGAATCAGATGTTAGGAGGGAGGAGGGTGGTGTGGGGTGGAGGGAGAATTCTCATTTCAGTGTTTCATCAGATTTACTTAACGAAGCCTTGGGGTTTCCAATTACATAAGAGAGGCTCGGAGGTGACAATGTCTGATTGTATTATTACTTCACGTGGAGCCGTTAGTTTATTGCCTCGTCCTGGCCGCAGTTAAGGGATTTTCCCCCCGACTTTGCTGTCTCAACCCCAATTTAAGCCAAAAGTCTCGAGGGCCGTTTTCCATTAAACTGCTTTTCGTGAGACGTGCTTGCTTGCTAAACTGGGGTATATCTTCTCGCGAGACTTGATAACTGGCTAAACTGGAGTATATCTTCGCAAAGTTTGATATCTGGCTCCACTAGATGCCATCTAAAAACGGCTAGAAATGTCCATTGCTCCTACAGTTAATTTCGGCGATTGAAGAAAATTTTCAATAGAGAATATTTATAGCTGCCATGAGATTGTTTTCAACGAAATCTTGCTAAAACGTTTGTGGAAGATAAACGATAGATACCGAATCACCACGCGTAAGGCAAGACAGCGCTGCAAAATCTAATGAGATGGAGTCGGTTTGATAAAGAAAGATAAGTATGGACAAAACGCTTGGGTTGTAGCCCTATTTCTTTACGGGCCAATCGGTACTTGGCGGGTGATGTGGTCGCTTTTACTAAGCATTTCTTGGTAATCGTTTTGGGCTGGGTCGACCTAACAGCCCAGGATGATGTAAAAAATCCATAAGTTAAGAATTCTTCTCCCGCCTGCCGGCAGATCAGCGCTGAAGACACTGACCAACTTTTTTAGAACGCACCAAAAACCACCAGCTTACAAGCTAATGTGTGGGTGAAGATTCGGCATTTAACTTTAATAAACACTAACACATATTACAAATGTTCATGCATACAGACAGGGGGAGTGATAGGCAACAGATAGCCCTAGCCCAAGAGCTACAGGCTACTGTAGACAAAGAGACTGACTGGGGTGCAGAAATTAGTGCTGTCATCATATCAATTCAGAAAAGGAGGCTGTTTCTGTGGTGCTCGCTGAACAATAGAATTGTAAGAACTAATGTTCCAAACCTCACAATTAATGACCACAATAAAAATAAAAAAGCAAACTGAGGTGCCTAGTATTAATTTCGATAAGTCTAAGTGTCGAACAAGTTGCAGACTTGTGTAGGAATGGCGCTGCGCTAAGTTGCCAGGGGATCTGGCCGGCGCTCAACACGCAGGGGAAAGGCGAGACGGATATACCATCAGACAGTTACAGATGCCATCGGAATTGGAACTCTTTGCATGCTGCTGAAGATGGGGTCAGGGCGCTTATGGGGTGTCCCGAGTGCTATAATGTCGATTCTTAATTCAACATTTAACATTCCTTCTACAAAGCCATTTAGCATAACGATAATGAACTATTTATATCTACACTGTCTAAAAGTGGTTTGAGAATAGCACCCATACAACAAAAAATTGTGATTTTTACAAGGGCACTTTGAAGAACTGTTGCCACAAGAAATGAATCAACACTCACTGATCAGTGCTCATTCAGGGGAAATAACTCCAGATGAACCTCAAAATTCTTCTTCTTCTTTGCGTTCACCAGCTGTGGCGGAAAGCTTTGGTTCTTCGCCCACTTCTGCACTTCGGTATTGTTTCAAAACTTGAGTTTTTCGTGCATATTCATGTTACAGATCTGACCGGCTTGTTCTGATCTGTCCATAATAAAATAGTCGTCTTGTGCTGGGGCAGGTGGTTTCCTGACTGATTTAATGATTCTTTTCTGTTGGTGGTATGTGACTGGTACATCCGGCTGCACTTTTGTCGCACCTTCTCCTGCCAGTTGATCAGCTTTCTCATTTCCAGGCACTCCACAATTAGACGGTACCTACTGCATTACGACTCTTCGCTGAAGGCTGAGTTGTGTCAGCAGTGTTTGCAATTCTTGTAGATTCCTAGACTGGAGTGCTTCAAGTACTGATTTTGCATCTGTCAGCATTACCACATACTGTGGGCCAAGGTTGGTATTTAGTTAAATTATCTAATACCGAAGAACTTTCAAGCAAAACATACACAAGAACCGTCAAAATCTGCTGACATTGCAGCGTTCATGAATTGCTAGCAGATGAAAGTTTGCGAATTCTGATCTCCAGCCTTGGGGGGAGGTACCAGTAAAATCCATGAAATCTCGATGTTAATTAACTTATCAAATGTGCAATTTAGATAAGAGCACTGGCTTGTTAAGAGGAGAAAATAATGTGGTGTGGTTAAATCATGATAAGCCAGATTAAAGCAGTCTCTCAGCTAAATGATTACATCCTGCACTTTTTTCTCTTTCTTAACGTTACGTTTCTCTTTTTCTGTCTCTGTCTCCTTTTTTTTAGAGTCTCTGTCTCTCTCTTCCTCTTTATCTACCTGTGTCTTTCTTCCTCTGTCTGTATCTCTCTTTACCCGTCTTCAACTAAGTCTCTCGTCTTCTTTCTACATGTCTCCCTTTTTGCTATGTCTGTGTTTAACTTTATCTACGCTACTCTTTCTGTTTCTCTAACTGTGCCTCTCTTCCTTTTTATGTGCCTCTCTCTCTCTCTCTCTCTCTCTCTCTCTCTCTCTCTCTCTCTCTCTCTTCCTCCTTCCTCTATCTCTTTCTCTATATACGATCCTCTATTTTTATGTACCGCATTTCCTTTTTCTGCCTCTCTTTTTCTTTATATATCTACGTCTTTCTATCTTACTTTATTTATATCTGTATACTTCATTATCTGTTTATTCCTCTCTCTCCTCTTCTCTCTTATCACGCGTTCTTACACAAACAGTCAGGCCTCCTACAGTTAAGCTAAACAGAAATTAACTCAGAAAGTTAAAGCTACTTCAATTTCAAGCACAACACAAGCTGACAGTCGCGGGTCGGATACAGCTGCAATGGTATACAGAACCAGCGAATTCCATCAAATGAGTAAACTTGTGGCGAGGAAAATGAGCACTTTATTTTGTCAACATATTTGTCTAAGAACTTAATTCTCATTTAATTGGCAAAGAGACTGAAAGTAAACAGCTTGTTTTGGCATGCAAAAATGTCAAAACAATTCCACCTGTGGCTAAAACTGGCAACCTAACAAATGTTCAGCTGGCGTGTGTCTCAAAGATGGTGAGCTGGCATTAGGTTTAGAAACTGCAAGTTTTTTAGCATGTAAATCTAAGATATGTATGCGGGTGGAGAGAATGAAGGAACAGACAAACTTTATTTTTAAAGGGGAAAAGCGGAGATGCTGAACAATGCATGGAAGACAAGGAAGGCATTCTCAGATGTTATTCTAGCAACATTTTCACGTCTGTTCTAGTCCCAGTTGTTACTGAACAAACAGCAGACGTGAGAGCCTGTTAATTAATTTTCTCCTAAAAAGTATGACGACAAGTCAATGAAACAAACAATGTGTACAACAAACACAGAGAATAAACAACCAAACATATTGAACTAGCGATGCCACAAACTTTCATCAGCCATGTCTCGGACGGTTTAAGATTTGATCAAGTACCTATGCGCACTACTGTGTGTCTGTCCTTACGTATACATCCCTTCCGCTTCTTCCTTCCATCTGTTTGTCAATTAGTCATATGTCTGCTTGGTTTATCGTATGTCTAACTGTCTAGCAAACAAACAGTTCGAACTATCATTCTGTGTTTCCTTGTCTGCCTGCCTGGCTATCCATTTTCTTTATTTCCTTTGCATCAAATTTGTTTCCTACAAAAAACAATTACAGAAAACTGGGATATTGCAACCATCTTTAGAAGTCATGATGAGTCTCAGTGTATTTATATTTACCCGATGAAGCATCTTTTACCAACACTGTGTTACCAATGTCAAACGTAGACACTAACTAGTAATGAAAAGGCAACAAATCGAAACAACATAAACGACGTGATATGACAAATTAAAAATGTTTCTAGAAGAGACATGATCAGAATTGACGATGACTTCAGGAAAGATGTTGGAAGAGAGCCACTGCTAAACTACATCAAAGGGCAACAGATCAAATGGTTTGGATATGTGTGAGGACTATAACCGGATAGCGCAACGCACTTAGACATAATGGAAGCCTCTAGAGCTTGACCACGCAAACCTTGGATAGATGGAATATCCGAGGCCGTAAATACCAGCACCTAGGTAAGGCATACCTTGGCGCACGCGCGACGCCTGTTAAACATCTGAGGCTAAAAGACAGAAATAGACTAGAGGAAGAAGAAGAAGAAAAAAAAGACAGTTTATGTTTGCAGTCTTATATTTTCCCCATGCCGTTTCCTCTATTGATCCCAACACACTGTTGCAGTCTTAAAAGATCAATGCTCACGTCCTGTTGCAGCATACAGAAATGTATATCGTAATGGCACCGTATTTTAATACAGCAAATGTGGTCAGCATCACTCCAGTCCCTCCGTAATATGTCTTGGTACCTGTTTTATGTTTGGTTATTTGGTGAATCCAGCGTCGTTTCTTAGCCCTGACACGGATTCAAGCATGTGAGCATGTTAAAGATAGTTGCGTATCCTTTACAGTACTTTGCAGAATCAATCGTAGCACTTATCTGGCTGTTGCGGTGTCTCTAGGCACATTTTACGGTCAGTAGCTTGCCAGTGTGGAAAACAGAAAAAGAGAAATCAGATGGAATAAATATTCGCCTTCGTGGTGTGAAAATGTAAAATGAGGAGTTAAGAAGAAAAAAGACATAAACAATGGATACAATCAGAGAAGCTCTACAGCACCACGATGTGTCTGTGGTCGAAGCAGTCGGGAGAGAACGAAGCACGACCTTATATCTCCCTCGACACTTGAAGTGGTAAAAAGAGGACGGAGAGAGAGAGAGAGAGAGAGAGAGAGAGAGAAAGAGAGAGAGAGAGAGAGAGAGAGAGAGAGAGAGAGAGAGACAGAGAGAGAGAGAGAGAGAGAGAGAGAGAGAGAGAGAGAGAGAGAGAGAGATTGCCACCACTTCTTGGACAGTCAGCTTTCTGTACCACTATTAAAACCAACGCAAGAGGTCGGCTGCCAAAACGCCTGCAGCTGGGATCGAACCCGGCACCCCGGCATTACGAATAGCGTTGGCTACGGCTAAACCATAGACGCCGATATCCGCGCATAGGGGACCTACATGTTTGCCAGCTAGCCACGGCGCAAAAGCGGTTCTAAACTCCATAATGTACTCACTGCTCAAAGAACAACTGACACAACGTGAGGAAATACCCTATGGCTACTAAATGGCATTCAATAAAGAGATGTCAAAGATGTTTACATTAGAAAACAGCACAGACGGCACAGTGTTAGCTATGGACATCGTCTTCTTCTTCTTCTTTCTTCTTCTTCTTCTTCTTCTTCTTCTTTTTCTTCTTCTTCTTCTTCTTCTTCTTCTTCCTTTGAATTCTTCTTATTTTTCTACGTCTTCTTTTTCTTTGTCTTCCTCTTCTTCGTCGTCGTCGTCTTCTTCCTCTTTTTATTATTATTATTATTATTATTATTATTATTCATAGGCTGTAAATTTCGGCCCGAAATTTCCGCTGTTCGTCCACTTCTGGACTTTAATCTCGTTCTAAAACTAGGGTTTTGTATACGTTATTTTTGCGGTCTCTGGCTTCTCATGCAGATGCACTCCAACCTGGAGGGCAACACCCATCATTAGTCGCCTTTTACGACATGTTTGTTTTGGGGGCAGTGGGTCTTTTCTTTTTTGTTTCCCAGCAAAATCCGGCCCTGGGACTAAATAGGGAAACAAACAATCGAGAATTGGAACTTGGAAAAATGACAACAATGGCATTTTAAGGGAAGAAACATTCATTGAAGCACGCCGTCAGACACTATTAAAAAGACGGTACAACTGAATCACCAATCCGTTCCGCCTCTTCATGGAACACTGCTGCTACAATAGCAAAATGGCAAATATTTTGTGTGAGTCAAATGTCGATCATCATTCACACCGCAGTCCACGTATTTGTGCATCATCTGTAGTTATCCAACCCAAGGTTCCGAATACCTCATACATTCTGCGAGTAACGAACATAAAATGTCTGTAATCTCTTATCGTAAATATGTTTAATTGACCGTTACCATGGTTACGAGACTGAATTAACGGCAATGATCCCACGAATTACAGAACTCAACATTCGATACTTCGGTTGGAGGCAGACTTCCACAGTAAAAAATCCTAATCTGACACCGACGTCGCTCGTTAACTTTCTTTCGCCGCAGGTAAAATGTTAACAATCTTTATTTTCTGGGAATGTGATACGGCTGGAAATGTGTAGGCTCCGATTATGCGGATAGAACGCTTGAGCCATAAGAAATACACACTAGAATTAAAGAAGAAGAAGAAGAAAAACTCAGGACAACGCAAACAGAAATCAGGCTGTTCATCATCATCATCCTTTGTGTGTGGGGAAACCACATAGGGCTCGCTTTCGATAGCTCTACTTCACTCTGTTGCATGCAACTCTCTCGATTTCTGACATTCTTCGTCATCCCCCCCCCCCCATCCCCCTTGTGGGTTGCAATTTTTCGTTATTTTGTAGCCCCACACTGGCTTTACCAGGGGCAATAATATAACCAACTTAACGGTTAAATGTAGTTTCCGGGACCTCTCCACGGGTGATAGTCATCCGCATGGTGGCACTTTGTGTCACTGGGTGTTTATCGCTCTGTGTGATGTCCTGGTAGGGTGAAATTGACTTACTTGATTTTTGACATGGAATTTAGTCCAGCATCGCAATACTGTTCTTCGAAATATTTTCCTTTTACTTTCTTTTTTTTCCTCAGACCGTTTGTTTCCCATTCCAGTGCTATTTTTATAATTCTTTGCTCATTTCGTCTCATAACGTACCATACATATCCACCTTCTTTGTCTTGTTGCGGTCGGTACAGTCTCTTCTAGCAGAAGTCTCACTGGGACAACGGCTGTCCCCGTTATAAACTTACCAGCCAACTGTTGTTCGTTGCTTTGCTCCAAAACAAAATTGTCACGCTCAACCAGCATCTCCAAGTGGGAGCTTTCGGTTATAATTGTGACTAGGTTATTTACGTCACATAAATTGGCTTAGCACTGTACGCCCCACCAAGAGCCCTGAAAAGGACTCTTGCATTGTCAGTGCGACCCAAATACTTTGCTGACCGGTGGGGACATCGTCTACCGGCGAGCCAATAGACGACCCGGTTGCCGTTGCCAAGTACGGTTGCAGTTCTTCTATACAGAAACAAATCAAGAAAGCCTGACCACAAACAAAATCTCCACGAACAAAAAGTGATGCGACAGTACCTCTCTACCATCATTGCTCATCAGCGACCCAATATGGGCCAAAACTGGCCTTATCAGAGCAACCATAAATTCTGCCCCTCCAGTAGCGGAAGAAATATGTCACCTTCACTTCTGACGGACGAACATAAAAACTGAAGGCGGAACAAGACGACGAAAAGAGACATTCGTTAACGAAGTCAGGATCAACATTAATCTCGCTGTAGCAAAACCTACCAGGGACTTTTGGGGTGGGGGACGGGGCAGATAGATCCACTGGCAAACTAATAAGCATGCCGTAAAAGTCGACCAGCTGGGTTTTTATTTTTACGTATTCGGAGTCCATCTGCATGAGACGCTCGGAACCAACAGTCTGCATGCAATAAGACAGATCTTTAAAAAGCAGCTGCACACGCAAAACGCAAGTTCTGAAAAAAAAAAAAATTCAGTCCTGAAATGGACGAACAGCTAGAACTTTCCGCCAGAGTTTACAACCGGTGAACGCGAAAATATAGAAGACATAAAATGCTAACCAGAATGTTTGGAATTAAGTGCTAAAAACAGGACCAAGCCACAACTGAGCCTATTTTCTGTTCCTTTGAGTGCGAAAAATTCCACTTCGGTCTGAAGATCACCTACAAGCAGAACCACTAACAGCAACATCAACATTAACGAACGACAGCATCAGCAACTAATGTGGCCATATAACCTGGCCTGTAGTTCAGAAACCAGCCGTTCAGTTGAACATATTCCCTGGCTTAGTCGCCACACAGACGGCTAATTATGGTCTGGTTTCAAAATGACAATACTCTGAGGAAGGGAGACGTCACTTAAGCCATAAAACCATGACCCAGAGAATGTAAAATATCTAATATCCCATCCAGCTACAACAGAATCTAGCACAGCTCTATATTGTTTTACGTGAGTGGTAGTAACAAGTCAGCAGTTTTTATCAAACGGATGATAGTCATTAACTTGAAAGAATCAACAGACCGCACACAGTGACATCGGTGAAGAACATCAAACAAAGTGCGGCGCATTAAACACACGCGATTGAATTACAAAACGTTATCGCTCGGGCTACCGTAGAGAGAAACCTATTACACATTAAACACGGGTGATTACAAAACATGATCGGTCGGGCTACCATATAGAGACTCAGTAAACCGCAATGGGATCTCAAAATAAAACAGGCCAGAACTTTAACCTAACCAGTTTATGCGTCCGTCAAAGTCTGTTAATTTCAGCGTTGCCACTTTGGATGTTTTTCATCCAGATTTAGATGTTTTCCCTTGCATTTAGATAAATAAACAGAGGGGGAACCTTTGAGGCCGTTAAAAATTATGAATTAATCGAGTAATATTAAGTGTATTGATCGGCACTCATAGAAAGAAGTAGAAAGATAGAAGAACACACTAGACAACATAAAAATCGAAAGTTACCGTGCCGGGAATTGAACCTGTCACCTCCAGACGGCGTCTGCGCCTCTGCGTCTCGCCATGAATACAAGTGCACTAAGAAACATGGTCAACTAGGCACCCCCAAAAACAGGTACAATTCCCGGCACGGTAACTATAGCTTTCGATTACCTGGACAAGTATTCATGCATTAATACAGACATCATCAGAGGAGTGTACTCACTTGAAACTGGTGAAGACCAGCATGGGCCGTCTGCCCAGAGATGGTACCGCATCATCCATCAGAGGGTGTTTTTTAATAAAGTTGAGAGTGCTGTAGGAAAGTTGTTGACTGTCACTGGTACACTGCCGATATATAATATCCATAATATATAATGGATATAATACTAGAGTAGGTTCTAGCAAAGTAACTAGCATGGATATAACACACTAGAGTGAGTTATAATAAACTAACTAGCATGGATATAACACTAGAGTAGGTTCTAGCAAAGTAACTATCATGGATATAACACTAGAGTGAGTTATAATAAAATAACTAGCATGGATATAACACTAGAGCGAGTTCTATTGTGTGTGTGTGTGTGTGTGTGTGTGTGTTGTCCATCAAGATGATGATGGCCACTCTTTTATATTGTTTGTTGTTTGTTTTAGTATCCAGAAGCCATGAGTTGTTAACCCTTTGGCTCGGTATTATGGATATCGCAACCCTTCGGCCTTGATTCCATTGTAAATACCGTAAATCTGGGAGAAAAATGTGGCTTTCCTGCCTACCACCGGGATTGAACCCGGACCACAAAGAGTTCGTCACCCGGTCTCCGCGCAATCCGGTTTGGCCAACTACGCTAGAGAGCCGGGCACTCTTTTTCATCAAGTAACATACATGGGATGGTGATGAAAGAGTGACTTGCGCGGTGACCTGGATTAAAGTGAGGAAGAGTTGAGCAGTGTGGTCGACCTCACTCTCTCGCCTAAGTCATATCTGGGTCCAGTGTTAAGACAGAGTCAGGACAACTGGAGATATGTCTAGGTGCAGTGGATGACCAGGGCGTTCTACGTGCCTCGCCATGCTCTTTGCGCTCCACAGCGCTTTGCTAGTGTCACCGTCTTGCCCGTTAAACTTTATATAGTATAAAGAAACTAGCATGGACATAACACTAGAGTGGGGTTTAGTAAAGTAACTAGCATTTATGTATCACCAGAGTGAGTTCTAGTAAAGTAACTAGTATAAATACAGCTGTTTTAACATAATAAGATAAGTGAATGAGTTTCACAATTTCATGATTTTCTTCCTTGCTTGAGCTCACTGGCTGTAACCTTCCTGCAAAAAATTCTAGCTGTAATTCAGGACTAAAGTCTTGTTCCAAAACGTGAGTTTTGCGTGTACATCCATTTTACAGATCTGGCTTTAGAACAAGTACAAACCAAACTGAAAAGCTTAACTTTTTTGATGATTCAAAACCATTCAAACATTCCCTGGCTGAAGAAAATAAAAATTAATTGCAATTTTTTTTTTTTCAAAACGTGTAGTAAAGACAAATGGTTGAAAAGTTGACAAACAAATGGTTGAAAAGTGGATGAATAAATTGTTGAAAACTGGACAAATACATGGTTTAAAAGTGAACAAACAAATGGTTGAAAAGTGGATGAATAAATGGTTAAAAACTGGACAAACAAATAGTTGAAAACTGGAAAAAATCATGCCTAAAACTGGACAAACAAATGGTTGAAAACGGGCATGCTAATGGTTGACACGTAGGCATAAAAGTATGGTTAAAAAGTTTGTAAACAATTGGTTGAAAAGTGGACAAAATTATTGAAAACTGGAGGACCAAATGGTTGAAAACTGGGCAGCTAAATAATTGAAAGTTAACAAATGGGTGAAAACCTGGCATACTGATAGCTGGAAAGGTTGACAACAAAATAGCTTTAAAAGGGACAGACAGATGAACTCACCATGACGGGCTGTGGCTTGGGCGTATCGTCCCATCCAATGGGCAGCCAGTTATGTAAGTAGGACTCCTGTCCTTTGAACCTTCCCTTGAAAGTGTTCTCAATGTCAGAATAAGCAAAGGCACACACCGCAGACCCTCTGATGGCATTTCTGTGTTGGTCAAATGTAGTCATTAGCAATCACTGCATTTGGGTTTGTGTGTGTGTGTGTTTTTTTTTTTTTAAACTTAAAATATGTCATATATGTAAACTTCAATGCACACAGGTTATTTTATCACAATTGATGTCACTGCACACTGGGTATTCCCATACGATCTCAGTCCCCCGTTGCAGCAGCCACTCCAAGTACCTCTAATGGTTGTTCCCATGAGGAGCTGGTTATAATGTCTCCTATCTAGACTTTTGAAATAGTACAGACGTACCTGACTTCTATGTCAGACGGTGTAGGACGGGGAGGAAGTGGGTGGGTGGGGGGGTGTGGAGAGCCTGAGAATATATGGCTGCGTGGCTAGTGCAGGTTTTAATTTTTAGTTTTCAGAAAAAACTCTAATGTATCGAGGATCAACTTGGGCGTTTCCAAAAGACAGCCAACTGTTCTCTTAAGCGCGTATGATACAAGAACAGAAAATGCACTATATTTTTCCTTCTTAGCTTTCACCAGCTGCAAACTTTGGTTGTTTGTCCATTTCTGGATTTTAGCCTTATTGTGTGTGTACATCCACTTTGTATACACATCCGTATTATAGATCTGATTTATTTGAATGCAGACTGTTGGTTTTTTGCTTTTCAGTTAGATACACTGAGATTTTGAGGAAAGCTCTTAATTAATAGCCTTGTACAAGACGCTTATCAGCGGGGCAGTGAGTCTAGTCTTTTCTATCAGAGGGGCAGTGAGTCTAGTCTTTTCTTACTCTTCACATCCCCCATCCCCCTTCCTTTTTGTGCCAATGGGATCTGGAAAGCACACCTGGAAGTCATACAAAATTTAAACCAAAAAAAAAAACATGTTACCAGAGGATACACATGACAAGAGGACTTACTCTGGTGTGTTGAAGACACCATAGATCATGTCAGCCCTGTCTCCGCTGTCTGAGGTCGGCATGTAGTTGCCCTGCCCGAACTCCGAGGTTGCCTCTGGGGAAGCAAACACAGCACATGTCTTATAGATCCTTCGTGCTTTTATACATATAACACCCGAGTTGTAGTAATTTGCAGCAGCAGCAGCAGTAGTAGTAGTTAGTATTATTAGCACTAGCAGCTGCAGCAGCAACAGAAGAAGGAATAATACTACAACTGCTACTACTCTTACTAGAGCATCAGCAGTTGTAGTAGTTGTAGTAAAAGCAGCAGTAGTGACATCGACAGCAGCAGAAGAAGAAATGATACTCCAACTGCTACTTCTCTTACTAGAGGATCAGCAGTTGTAGTAGTTGTAGTAGTAGTAGCAGCAGAGCAGCATTAGCAGTAGCAGCAGTAGCAGCAGCAGCAGCAGCAGCAGCAGCAGCAGCAGCAGTAGTAGTAGCAGTAGCAGCTGGCAGCAGCAGCAGCAGCAGCAGCAAAACACTAATTTTAAACAGAAAAGAACTGAATCTATACAAGTGAATGAATCACCGCAAACAGAGGCACCAGTCTTAGATCAACTATTGTTCTCCTTCTGGTGTCCTTTTCTTTTCCATCTGTTGCTGGTTGCATAGCTTGAATTAATGTCATACTACGTTTCTGTAGTATTTCTTTTACTCCGTCCACCCATCTCTTTCTGGGTTGGACTCTTGCCTTGTAGCCTGCTGGTCTCATGTACTACGCTCTGGCTGCTGGCTGATTTTGTTTAATTCTGACCAGATGACCAAATCATTTGATTCTGTGATGTTCTATTAAATCATTTACCAGTAATCTGCCTACCCTTGCTCTTAGTTCTTCTTTAGTGACTGTCTCTTCTTGTTTTAACCCAGTCATCTCCTTGTGAGATGCAATTTGTCGTTATTTGAAGCCCTACTCTGGCTCTTGCTAGGGGCTGTAATATAGCCCAACAATAAATATGGTCTAATGGCTGAACGCGGTTTCTGGGACCTCTCCACGGTGATCCTCATCCCAGGGGGCACTTTGTGTCATCGGGTGTTTATCGCTTGTGTGATGTCCTAGTGGGGTAAAAATCTACTCTACTACTACTCTTCTTGTTTTCCCCGCAGCCTCACTTACACATTTCATCTCGCATGTTCTGTTCTAATTGTGCGCTATTGTTTTTCCTGGACTGAAGGTGTAAATGGACTGAATCACAGTACTTTCCCAGTTCTTTATGATTCTCCATTGAGAATCTGGACTGACCCGCGTCAAGAATTTAACTTAAAAATTATTGTATAACGAAACAACAACTAAGTTCTTGAGATATTCACTGAATAATTGTTCTAAACAGAAGGTAAACAGATTACATGAACATAAAAGTAGCTTGTTCATACTCACGGATTTCGTCAAAGTAAAACGGGTACTCTCCAGGTATTGAGCAGTTTAATCTAGCTTTGAAAAACGATGTGAACGTATTTTGATGGGTCTCTGACCCACGGTCGTTCTTACAGACACGAGCCACCCGAGAAAACACGGCCTGTAAAGACATGAAGCAGATACGATAACACGGCTTTATATATATATATATATATATATATATATATATATATATATATATATATATATATATATATATATATATATATATATATATATATATATGTATATGTATATGTATAATATATATATATATATATATAGAGAGAGAGAGAGAGAGACAGACAGAGAGAGAGACGGAGAGAAGAGAGAGACGGAGAGAGAGAGTGAGAAGGAGAGAGAGACGGAAAGAGAGTCGGAGAGAGAGAAGACAGATAGACGGAGAGAAATAGAGACGGAGAGAGATAGAGAGACAGGGAGAGAGAGAGACAAAAGAGACAGACAGACACACACACTTACACACACACATTGGCTTTTCATTAATAAAGAGACTAACAGGTAGACTGGAACTGGACACCGTGGTTGTGCGTGCATAGTGTGTGTGTGTGTGTGTGTGCGCGCGCGCGCGTACGTGCGTGAGAGAGAGAGAGAGAGAGAGAGAGAGAGAGAGAGAGAGAGAGAGAGAGAGAAAGCTTCAGTTAACATGTAGATAAGAGACTGCGGATGTTTTTGGTTATCACTTAAAAGAGGGGATCACATTAGGGAAGTGATCAAGCCACTGCTTCTCGCTCTGACGGCAGGAGACTTGTCGCTTGAGCGCATAGCTCGGCTCCCGGGTTCAGATGCGGAGTTCCTTAGGGATCTTCACTGGAGCTACGCAGTTCGTGCTTTGTGCGATGCTCTCGGCAGGTGGCTAGCCGTTTTACGCAGAGAAATTGAACAGTGAGGTGAAGCCGAACCTCTAAAGTTTAACTTTAAATCGAAAGAACATGTCAGATATCGTAGAAAGTTAAAGAAAATGTAATATCAGAAGTACCAAAGCGAATAGCCTCGACCAAATTAGAGAAGGAAAGATACGATGACATGAAAACATGAGTGTAGTGACGACTCTAATTAAGATCTGTAAATCCTCTTCTTCTCGTTCACCGTCAGTAAACTCCGGTGGGAAGTTCTGGTTTTTCATCTTTTTAAGGACTCTAGTCCTATTCCAGAACCCGAGTGTGCTTGTGCATCCGTTTTACAGATCTGATTAACATGTATGCATACAGCTCCCAATCAAACATCTTTTCCGACATGCTTTGGGTAGGCTGGGTCTAACCACCCCCCCCCCCCCCCCCCCAATGGGGCACCGGAACAATCACGGGGAGAACTACAAATAATATACGGGTATAAATATGAAAAGAAAGTGAGAGAAAGAGATCCACAGAGTGCAGAATACAGGACAGGATGTGCAATATAAGGACAACCATTAGAAGGAAAGACGAACAGACAGATTCAGAAAGGTCAAAAGCAAGGGAGACTGATTGAGTGATAAAGAGGGGAAGAGGAAAAAGAGAGGAAAGGGGGAAAGAGAGTTAGGGAGGCGGAGAGCAAAGGGTAGAGAAGAAGAAGAACAGTGACGAACCTTTCCGCAGTTGATATTCTCCACGGCAGTTTCACGAAAAAAGAAGAAAACCTTGTCGTTTTTGTCATATGAGCTCACAAAATTAGGCTCTGTGGACAGAAAGAGAGAATGGCATATACAAATCAAGAGATGTACACAATTTCACTTCTGTCTCTTGTTTAAACATAGCACACCTCATTCGTACTCTTGTGGGTTCCAGTAGCAAGACCTTATAATTATATTCTTCTCAGGATTTCTCAGTGTGTGTCCTATCCAACGCAGCGTCCTTTGTTCACCTCTCGTTCCATGAGAACTTGTTTAGTTCTTTCCCAAAGCTCAACATTAGTGATTCGATCATACATCTTACAGATCACGGGGTATATTCTACAAAACACCACCCCATCTGGGCTTACTTCTTGTCGCGTCTCGGTACATCAGCAGTGTATATATGCGCATTTATGAGTACAGTTAGCTAGGGGTGTGTGTGGCTAGCTGTGTGTGGGTAAATGGGTTTGTGGTCAGGTGGGTAGATCGGTAGTTTAGCAAGAGGGTAGTCGGTTAGCTCAGTTAACCAGTTAATCATAGTTGCATCTTCATGATAAATGGGTCACTCAACAGTTGTTTCGCTTCTCTATTACTGAAAACCACACACAGTTTCCATCGCTGTCCTTTGCGAAACAATTAAGACTGCAGTCTCGCAAAATTCAATAGCAAACACACGCACTAAATGTATAAGTCAGCCGTCGTAAGTGTCAAGACAAACAGTCCGCCACTAAAAGTGCAGTTCACTGTGAATGGAAGCAGTAGTTGCGAGACATATGAGCAGTTGCACAAGCAATTTTGCATAAGGCACTACCAGTTCTTTTGCAACAGACCTCTTGCCATTTTCTGATTTTTTAGGTTGGTAGTCGCGAAGATAGGTAATTAGGTATGTGGGTGATTGGGTATGTTATATTTAAGATAGAACGGACATTTGAATTGGTATGTACATAGAAATTACTCACCATTTAGGAAAATGGAGTCCCGTGTGATAGTTCTCACAAGGACGCTGTCGTTGACCTTCTGTAGAATCAGGGGATCTCTCTCGTCTGCGTCAGACACGGTTGCCGCGAAAATTTTATCATCTGGGAGAAGGGGAAAAAAAAGTACTTCACAATTACTAAATTGATCTTCGTTGAGTATCCTAGTCCTATTGTGTGTTGTGATTAGTTCGCAACAGGAGCGCCGGTAGTATTATCAGTGATAGCAGTAGTAACAAGTGTTGTAACACAAGCAGCAGTAGCAGTAGACACAGCAGCAGCAGCAACAGTAGTAGTAGTAGCAGCAGTAGCAGCAACTACAAAGAACAAAAGGAACTAGAAGATACCCAATGATCGGCTTGAGATACATATTCATCACCTGATTTACTACACATAGGAAAACTGGCAGATACATGTGGAACTGGCAGATACACATGGAACAACGGGCAGACACATGGAATAACTGGTAGATACACATGGAATAACTGGCAGACACACATGGAATAACTGGCAGATACACATGGAATAACTGGCAGATACACATAGAACTGGCAGTAACTTGGAACAACTGGCAGATACACATGGAATAATTGGCAGACACACACAGAACTCGCAGATACATGGAACAACTAGCAGATACACATGAAACTAGTGGCAAATATATATGGAACAATTGGCAGATACATATGGAATAACTGGCAGACCCACATAGAACTGGCAGATACATGGAACAACTAGCAGATACACATACAACTGGCAGATACACATGGAATAACTAGCAGATACACATAGAACTGGCAGATACATGGAACAAATGGCAGATACACATAGAACAACTGGCAGATACACATGGAACAACTGGCAGATACAAATGGAATAACTAACAGATACAAACAGAACAATCAATTACACATGGAACAACTGGCACTCATTCACGGATGGCAGATGTACATGGTACAACTGGCAGATACACAAAGAACAATAGACACACATATACGCACACATGGAACAACAACTATTCTCTGCGCAAGGAACAACAGTCAGATACACATGGAATATCTGACACCACACATGAAACAACTGACGCAGACACACATGGAACAGCTGAGACATTGCACATGAAACAACTGACACAGACACACATGGAACAACTGACACAGACACACATGAAACAACTGACACAGACACACATGGAACAACAACCAGGTATACACGGAACAACAATTGATCCTCTGCGCAAGGAACAAAAGTCAGATACACATGGAACAAATGAGACATGCAGACGACACAAATGGAACAACTGAGACATTGCACATGAAACAACTGATGCGTACACAAATGGAACAACTGAGACATGCAGACGACACAAATGGAACAACTGAGACATTGCACATGAAACAACTGATGCGTACACAAATGGAACAACTGAGACATGCAGACACAAATGGAACAACTGAGACATGGGGACACAAATGGACCAAACAACTAAGACATTACAAAAGGAACAACAACTGACTTTCTGCGCAAGAAAAAGTCAAATAAATGCGCATAGCTGGCACAGACGTGGAACAACTTAAATTCAGCCTGTCTGACATGCGCGTCGTCCTCACCGCCTTGCTTTATGAAATGTTTTTTTTTTTTTTTCACTGAAAGCTGTTATCGAAGCTTTCTTATTTAAAAAAAAAAAAAACCTGCTTTCAGCGCCACCGCTGTGTCAGACGACAGGTCCATTGTTTGTGCCAGAAAGGATTTACTTTTGATTCAAAAAGCGCGTTAAGATATAATGTTGGTTAGCCAAACTGTGTGTGCGCAGGAGATTAGATCTGCTTCCGTTGACGTGTGTTTGTTATGTTATGCATTTTGAAGCAGTGTTCTTCAACATATGAGCCGGGGAAAAGTCCCGCTGAGTCGCCAAGAAGAAAAAAAAAAATGCTTAATCATATAACGAGATAGGGTACATTTTAGGAGGTCTTTGTGGCGAAGTGGTCAAGCCGTTTGCCTCGCGCTCTGAAGGTTGTGAGTTCGTTCCACGGCTGCGCAGTTCACGAGTGCAGTTTTGAAGGAAATACCAGGGGGACTGTCGCCGGTGTTACGGAGTTCTCGGTTTGTGCGACGCTCTCGGCGGGCGGCTAGCCGTTTTGTGGAGAGATACTGAGCCATATAAGATCAAATTTAGTGCAATGAAGTCGATCCTCTCGAATCGGTTTCTATTTCTTTTCCAGTCCGTAGATTTAATACCTCAAGGTTATATTTGTGTGGGAAGGCATGTCAGGCATGTCAATAACAACCAAACAGAGAAATCGAGTGGATGTCACTGCAGCGCTTAGTTTATCAAAAACCACGCCCCAGCCATCTATATCTGATTTTTAAACCGCTCGCATTATCTGAAAACTGTAACTGTGTGACACCTGAAGTAACCTACATTTGTTTTTGTGTCGTGTTTGGTAAGCTGTCATGGCGCGGTGAAATAATTTCCACTGTGCTGGTGGTCTGCAGGTTTCAGAAAATGCTGAAGAACACTGGTTGAAAGCATGCAGGCAGTTGTGTTAGGATCAGCAGTGGACAAAGAGCTGACACATACGGGTTATGGTATTTACTGGCGTGGTCTGTTTCTCTTCTTATATGAAAATATACACGCTAGACAATGTAAATGTCTTTTGGGAGAGAGGGAACGGTGCGGAGGCACAAACAGATTTGAGGGGAAGGGCGCTGCCAGGAGTTACCTGGGATGTTGCGACGCTCAATACTCAGGGGAAAGACAAGATAACATAGATATACAATCAGACAGTTACTGATGCCATTGTAACTGGAGCCTTCGCTTGGTGCTGAAGATAGGGACGGAGTGCTTATGTGAGTATCGCGAGTCCTGTGCTGGCGATTCTTAATTCAACATACGAAAATAAACGCAAAAAGTTCATCAAATAAGCTTGATCGCAGCTGGAGTGACAACGATAACGGATCACAACGATCGGTTAACTCCAGCCGGTACAAGACCGAATTGTGCCGCCCTTTTGAAGAAAGTGGGTCCTGCAAATACGGGGACAAGTGCCAATTTGCCCATAAGTCGCGTGTCGTCGAGCAAAAAGGGCACACACGCCTGCTCGCACCACTAAACGAATGCAACATCAAGGACACGCCGTAGGCATGATGGTGATGTTGATTGTGATAATTATGATGATCACGATAACATGAGGAAGATGGAAGGGGTTGATGTTGACGAAGAACAGGTAAGACAACATGAACTAAAACATAAGCAATATGGTCCCAAAAAAGCAAACAAAAAAGTTGGTTTGGCATGGATTTTTTAAAAAAAAGGTCACAAAAATACTGTTTTAACACAGCAAGGATCAGCCACGTTTGTGGAACAGAAAATTAAATAAAAGCAATTAAACCGATTGTCAAACCACTCAAGTCAAGCAGCTCGGGCGTGGTTAGTACTTAAATGGGTGTCACTGCCAAGTTATTTATTGTATTATATTTCCCGTCCTTTTTAGGACGAAATTTTTCGTTATTTGAAGCCCTACTCTGGCTCTTGCCAGGGGCCGCAATATAGCCTGGCCATAAATATGGTCTAAAGACTGAACGCGGTTTCTGGGACCTCTCCACGGTGATCGTCACCTACATCGTGGCACATTGTGTCATCGGGTGTTTATCGCTTGTGTGTGATGTCCTGGTGGGGTAGAAAGTCAGCCAAGCAGGGTGGAGACAAAGACCCAGTGGGGAAAATTAGCAAAACAAAGTGACACGAACCTGATTTTTAATTCTGAAATATGAACGACTTCATACGCCAGGTCAAAAAAAAGTTAATCCCGCACACGTCTATCGCATTTATTTGGACAGCATTACTAGGCATTTATATGTAACAGAAGGTAAATATTTGCTCGGTAAAGTCAACAAAAACGCAACACATACGACGTCGCTGCACACACATGCATAAAAAAATGAAGATATGTTATCAAAACGTCTAGTTAAATGGACTCTTTGCATCTCTGTCTGTCTGTCTGTCTGTCTGTCTGTCTGTCTGTCTGTCTGTCTGTCTGTCTGTCTGTCTGTCTGTCTGTCTGTCTGTCTGTCTGTCTGTCTGTCTGTCTGTCTGTCTGTCTGTCTGTCTGTCTGTCTGTCTGTCTGTCTGTCTGTCTGTCTGTCTGTCTGTCTGTCTGTCTGTCTGTCTGTCTGTCTGTCTGTCTGTCTGTCTGTCTGTCTGTCCTGTCTGTCTGTCTGTCTGTCTGTCTGTCTGTCTGTCTGTCTGTCTGTCTGTCTGTCTGTCTGTCTGTCTGTCTGTCTGTCTGTCTGTCTGTCTGTCTGTCTGTCTGTCTGTCTGTCTGTCTGTCTGTCTGTCTGTCTGTCTGTCTGTCTGTCTGTCTGTCTGTCTGTCTGTCTGTCTGTCTGTCTGTCTGTCTGTCAGTCCGTCTGTCCGTCCGTCCGTCCGTCCGTCCGTCCGTCCGTCCGTCCGTCCGTCCGTCCGTCCGTCCGTCCGTCCGTCCGTCCGTCCGTCCGTCCGTCCGTCCGTCCGTCCGTCCGTCCGTCCGTCCGTCCGTCCGTCCGTCTGTGTGTGGATGTGTGCCTTTGTCTCTGCTTCCTCCCATCTCCTCTACCTGTCTTCCTTTATCTGTTGTCTGATAAATCTCTCCAAATGTTGCAATACGTTCCATATTTCATTTCTCAGAAGGTAACAACAACATTTCGACTTCCTCCGTTCAAATACATGTCGAGATGAGTTGATTCAAGAACTGACATCACAGCACTCAGGGAATTCCCACAAGCAATCCGTTCCCACCTTCAGCAGCCAGCCCAGAGTTCCAATACAAATAGTGCCAGTAACAGTCAGATTATCTGTCCGTCTTGCCTTTCCTCTGAGCGTCGAGTATCGTCCAGATCCCTCGTCATTCCTAGCAGCAGCACACTCACCAGACTGTGACGATCAATGTGCTGCTCCCAACACTCACCAGACTGTGACGATCAATGTGCTGCTCCCAACACTCACCAGACTGTGACGATCAATGTGCTGCTCCCAACACTCACCAGACTGTGACGATCAATGTGCTGCTCCCAACACTCACCAGACTGTGACGATCAATGTGCTGCTCCCAACACTCACCAGACTG